AATGGGGTTTTTAAATTTTTAAAATATATTCTATAAATATGGAAAAGTCAGCATCTTTTCCCACCCACAAAGTTTTTATTTACATCAGCAAATCTCTGGGATGAGCTTTAGAGCAACTGTAACATCCTTCTCACCATTTTTGGGTATTCAAAGAGTTTTTGGTGGTGTGGTGAAAAGATCAATTTATGACTAAAATAGTATGTGTTTAAAATCAAGAGAAAAGTATCCATGTGAACTGCTTATCTGATGCACAGGTGCCACTCCCATCTACAAGCAATGGAAAGGTTTCATGGAAGCTCAGCTCCTCTTGGCTCAGAAGAGGTTATACGAGATGACCTCAACCTCAGAGGGTCCCAGCTGGTTTGTATACACATCCCTGTCCCAACTGATTCATTCTTTTTTCAGATTTAAGTTTTGACATTGCAAAGCTGTGTTTGCTTTGCCACCAGGCGCTGCTGAGTCCTGCTCTGTGCTAAATGTCACTTTCATGTTTTTTAATGCACTATTCGATTATCTGTTTCCCAAAGTGTGCACACACAAAAAAACCAACAGGCAACTAATAGAAGTTCTTATTATTCTTCTGCGTCTCTGCAGACCTGGATAACTGGAGCAGGACAAGTCTATGAGAAGGGCCTAGGGGCATTTTTTAGACACAGCTGTTTCTGAAGAAGAGTCAAGGATGGTGGCTAGCCCCAGAGGAAGGTTCCCCCCAGTCAACCTGCAGAGAGTTAAGTTTATCAGAGGACACTGGAAAGGAGAAGGAAGATTATAGGGTTTTAGCTGAAAGAGTAAAACTCTGCATAGAATCATAGAATTATAAAATCATAGAATCAGCTAGGTTGTAAAAGGCTTTTAAGATTATCAAGTCCAACCATTACCCAAAGACTGCCAAGTTCATCTCTAAGCCATATCACTGAGGGCCTCAACTACATGGTTTATGAACACTTCTAGAGGTGGTGATTCCACCACTTCCCTGGGCAGCCTGTTCCAATGCCTGAACACCCTCTCTGTGAAGAAATTGTTCCTAATATCCAATCTAAACCTCCCCTGACACAACTTGAGGCTATTTTCTCTTGTCCTATCACTTGTTACCTGGGAGAAGAGACCAAACCCCACCTCACTACAGCCTCCTTTCAGGTAGATGTAGAGAGCGATAAGGTCCCCTTGAGCCTTCTGTTCTCCATACTAAACCCCTCCATTTCCCTCAGCTGTTCCTCACAAGACTTGTGCTCCAGACCCTTCACCAGCTTGCAGTTGATTGAGACACAGCTGTGGGCTACCTGATGCAAGCGCAAAGGATGCAGCTTGGCAAAATGCATGAACCAGTCCAAGAGACCTGCAAAAGAGCAAAGACTGGCCTTGCCTCTCCCCTAGTTGTTTCCACCACTAGTTTTCCATGACTTAGAGTGCTTGTCTGGTGTCAGCAGGCCAGTTACCCTTGGGAAATAAGAAGATCGTTAACCTGGAAAAAAATACTAGCAGTTTCCTCATAGGTTGCTAAAAAACTTTCTGTGCTTTCAGCCTCAGTGAGCTGTTAGATGAGACAGGGATTTCCTGAACCAGCATGCTATTATCCACCTAGTTAAACTCGGGCCCTAGCCTGCTATCAAGGCTAAATTCATGTATTAGCCACCCAGTAGTAAAAAATTGTATAATCTTTTTCCTCTGAAAGCTGATAGGAAAGCATTCACACCCACTTACCAAAATTTCCACTCTGCCCAGCATGCTCCAAAAAGCCAGAAGCCAGGCTGTCTTTCAGCAAAGAGCTGAAAGCAGAGGTTAAGTGTAAGTGGAGCATAAAATAACTACAGAAAATATTGCTTCAGCATCCCACTTAGGTGCTGTCGTCAAGACTGATAGATATCAGATAAGTTTTGTGTCACCGGCAGCAAAACCCAAAATCATGTAGATTATAGATCGATATGTTAGTAACTTTCATATAATCTTCAGTCTATAACAGGGGAAAACCATCTTTGCCTTTTGCTGCTGTTTCTATACTTTTATTGCTCTGATTGCATCAGCATCTCTTCTCCCTTGCTTTGGGCTGCAGATCAATAACTTTTTTTCTTATTTCTAGATGTGTCTCTAATGTTTAGCCCATATTTTCAGCCCAGTTTGAATACCTGTTTTCTGGTGCACCAACTCTGTCCCTTGGACTCCCACTATCAGGCCAAAAATAACATGGCCACCACACAATAAAAGCACTGATCTAGCAAAATTCACTGGTTCGATGTTGTTAAAATGGGTAGATTAAATTTGTGACAGCGGACTTTGTGACAGATCAAATATCACCTGTCCACACCTTTATGTTTTTGCTAGAACAAGTATTTCTTGCCTTTACATGCTCTACAAAACCCATTAATCAATAGTAGTGGCCTTGTGTTCTGTGACTGACAATGCAGAGACTGAGGATTCATGCATGGGCCAGGTTACATCAGGACCAGGAAGAGGGTTAATCTGCTAAAGCAAAGATTCATAACTGTGATAACACACTTTAACCTGTGAAATCAACCAGACCTGTGAATTCATTCTGCAATCGTTCAGGGTTAAGGCTGGCCAGGAATGCTTTTACTTGCTGTACAAGCCAAGCTTACCTGAACCTCACACTGCATTTCAGAGTGGGGGCCCAAGATCCCACTCATAGCTGAATATGCCCACTGTTACATCTATCAGACCATCAGCTGTGTGGATTGCATATTAGGTAGGCTGGTCCCAAGTTAAAAGCTGGTTATCTATAGCATGCAGAGTCATTCCTGAGTATGGGGTTGTCCTGCTTTCATGCATTCAAATAGGTGTTTAAGCCTTATGTTCAAATATCATATCAAAAGGTCTTTGTCTTAGGCTAAAAAGTTTGTGAGAATTTCTAGCCTGCTGCTTATGCTGGGTTGAAGCACAAGAGAGCTGGAAAGTCCCATGAGGTCTTTTTAATGAAGATAATTCTGTGCAGATGCAGCATGTAAGGTATGACTGTCTCATGTTTTGGTGATTTTGCAATCACACATAGAAACAGGAACACATATTTTCTTACTTGTTTAATGCTTATGGCTGTTGATAAATGGAGAGTTTGATTTCCCAACTATTATTTGAATCACTGTCTTATTCAGAACAAGGTTCTGTTCAATAGTAGGTCAAGAAGTTTATGTGCTGCTCCTCAATCACATTCCTCATTCAGAATTTCTCATTCATACTGTTTAACAGAGGATTCCATTGTTAACCAGTTGCTTCAGAAACTTGTCATATGACAACTGTCAAGGCTCAGATTCTTATTTTATAACACTGAACATAAAGTTTCATTGAATATAAAAATAAGGTATTGAATGTATTTGTGCATATGACTATCTGCCTAAATATATATTTGAGGGCTTTCCTGGTTTGCTCTGAGGCTCTGCCTCAAGCCTTTCCCAATCTCTGTAGCTTTTCAGTGAAAATTAAAGAACATATATCATTTTCCTCACGTGTAGTAGTTTTGCACTAGACTCCACGAGAGGAACAGTAACCGAAATAAATTGCAAAGGTTTCCCAACCAACCAGGCACAGAGAAAATAAAATAAATCAAACAAGCAACATTTCTACGACAAAATCTGTTTCACAAGCCAGGGGAATCAGTCAAAAAACAGTAAACATCAGCCTGTGGTTAGAAATATTCTTTGAAAAAGCAACTCTTTTTCCTTTGCCCTTCTTGCTCCCAGCTTCCCCACCACAGGCTCCCTGGCAGTGAGGTTTGGGGATAATCTCCTGGAATACTTGAGGCGTAGAAGCCAACAGGATTAAAGCACCTCGTGCTCCTCAGCACAGTCATGTGATGAACTGCTGATCCCAGTAAAAGGCATCGTTTCCCAGAGAAGTTCTCACTTCATTTGCCTATAAGTTGTTCTTGCCCTGCTGAGATTTTACCTAAGCATAAGGAAATAATTCACTACTTTTTTAGTAAAAAAATAAAGCCAGCAGAACCACTCTTGTTTATTTACAGTGTTATTGTAATTAACACAGTTAATTACAGTGTTACTGAAAAAAAATATGGATAATTCATGTTCAATTTGCCCAGCAGTAAAACAACTGCTGTTCCTTTGCTTCAAGGGGCAACTTCAAAGAATGTGTAAGTTCTAACGCCACCCGTGAAGCTCGATTAGCTCTGATCAGGCTAATGTACAAGAAGACAGTAGTGGGTGGTCTGGAGGCTGCACAGTAGCATATTCAGTGAAGAACACAGATATGATGTTTGCAGATTCCTCACTGGGAGAAAAACAGGAGTCAAAGTTTGTTTTCCAATTGCCTAAAGTGCTTTCTGCAAATCTACTGGGAGTTTGTCTGTATTCCCCACAAAACTGCAGAGAAGTTCTGGAGGCAGATTTTGGTGTGTCATTACCTGTCAAAGCACTGTGGATTCCAGGGAAAGGAAAAGTTGGGTTTTTTTTTTTCTGAGAAGTTCATCAGTTCCCTTGTGAAGTTAATTTGCCGTATGTCAGGAAAGGCAGCTTGCATTACAACATAAAAATGCCAAGCCAACCCATTTATTCTGTTTCTGCCCTATGTTCACACTTAATCCAACCACATTTTATGACCACTTCCTCTTAAAAAAATGGAGGATTTACCCCCGAATTGTTTATTTTCTCATTTTTAGGTTCACTGTGCTTATTTAACTGACCAGATTTTTCTGGGTCTTTTCTTAAACAACAATTTACTCTATAGCATATGATCAAACAAGGAATGTGAAGACCTGACAACAAGTTCTGTGTCCAAATTTTAATTTCATTTCCTCTCCAATTGTCAGAGGAAAACAATCATGTGCTAGGCAGGAGATGAAAGTTTATAATAAGTGCCTGTATTTTGGAACTCATAAGGGGTGGGGAAAAAAGTCACTTGGCTTTCACCCAGAACATGTGATAATCAGATTAACCCCAAAGTGTATTTTGTGTGTAAATGCATCCAGGGTAGGTATGGGGAAGGACATTGGAGGGTGCACTGTAGAAGTAGTCAGCAGTGAAGTGTTCCCGGTGGAGGTGAGGAATTTCTTTCACACCCAGGACTTTGGAGGGGTCAGAGACAGCATTCCATGCACTGAAGCATAACACCGATGCTCTCCTGCTGCTCTGTGAGGATGTTCCTGTTTGCCATGGGTTTTCTGCTAGCCATCCTTCAGCCGTCCACTGGGCAGTTCCCCAGAGCCTGTGCAAACACAGAGAGCTTGCTGAGGAAGGAGTGCTGTCCCCCCTGGGATGGAGACGGGTCCCCTTGCGGGGAGCTTTCCAGCAGAGGGTTCTGCCAGAACATTCTTCTCTCTCAGGCTCCACTGGGACCACAGTTCCCTTTCTCAGGAGTGGATGACAGAGAGGATTGGCCCTCTGTGTTTTACAACAGGACATGTAAATGTGAAGGCAACTTCATGGGATTCAACTGTGGGGAGTGCAAGTTTGGTTTCTCAGGACTCAACTGCACTGAAAGGCAACTGAGAACAAGAAGAAACATCTTCCAGCTCACTACCAGTGAGAAGAACAGGTTTCTTGCCTACCTTAACTTGGCAAAGAACACTCCCAGCCAGGACTATGTTATTGCTACTGGCACATATATTCAAATGAACAATGGCTCCAACCCCACGTTCAGAAACATCAACGTGTATGATCTCTTTGTGTGGATGCATTATTATGCATCTCGAGACACACTCTTAGGTGGATCTAATGTGTGGCGGGACATTGATTTTGCCCATGAAGCCCCTGGCTTTCTGCCTTGGCATCGTGCCTTCCTGTTGTTGTGGGAACGTGAGATCCAGAAGATAACAGGTGATGAGAACTTCACTATCCCCTATTGGGACTGGAGAGATGCAGAGGACTGTGTTGTCTGCACTGATGAATACATGGGTGGCAGACATCCCACCAACCCTAATTTACTCAGCCCAGCATCATTTTTCTCCTCGTGGCAGGTAAGGACAGGCCAAAAGGAAGGGGAAGGGGAAGGGAATTATCCTACCTGGTGTTAGGCATGTAAGTGATGTGCACAAGCCGAGAGCTTACAGAATCACAGAATCAATTGTTAGTGTTGGAGGGGACCTCTGGAGATCATCTAGTCCAATGCCCCAACCACCTAGAATGTGTTCAGGTGGGTTTTGAATGTCTCCAGAGGTGGGGACTCCACAACCCTCCCAGGCTTAGCCATGCTGCTTTTCCTGGGGAGAAAATAAGCGTTACCACAGAGAGAAAATTGGTTTGTATGTGAACTTAATCTTCATTTAGAGCTGTTCATTTGTTTCTTTGTCTATTCTCTCCATGACTGTAGGATTTAGGCTGCTTAATTAGGAACCTAAAGTTAAGGTGGAAGGAGGAAAGTAATGCCTTTAAGTCTGAACATGGCCTTCAGCAGGCTAAACAGGCTTGAGGCTGCTGTGGCAGTCAGGTGAGAAAAAGCAGGATTAATGTACACAAACTGGTAGGACACAAGCATTGTAAGTTGATTAACTTACTGAATGATGGAAATAGAAGCAAGGAGTTTTCAGGCACTCTGCCCCTCTCACAGTGCTTTCCTTCATCCAAGAGTTAAAAACTATTAAATTAAGCTAATCTGCTTTCAATTTAAGGCAAATAAACAAAGAAATAAAACAAATCTTTAGCACACAGAAGAAGCAGCTGCATAGTTCACATCAGTAGTTTAAATGAAATTTAAGAAATAATCTCTGTTGCTAAAAGAGGCTAAGAAGTAAATTCAGTAGCTATTTCTGCCACTTAAAAGCACTGCAAATTAGCCTGTAAACCAGTGTAAATTTACATATTTACAAAGGTGATGTGGTCTGACATAGCTGAACTATACTGACCTCTGCTAAAACTGAAAGCTTCTAGACTTTTTGTCTTTTGATCATTACTGCCACATTGCCTAAAATACAATGGCAAAGGTCTATTGGCTTCTATAGACACACTCCATCGTGACAATAGCAACAGTCGCTTCCAGTGCGGAAGTCTATGATTATATTGGTAGGTGACATAGTTTAGTGTGAGGTGTCCCTGTTCATGGCAGTGGGGTTGGAACTAGATGATCTTAAGGTCCTTTCCAACCCTAACCATTCTATGATTCTATATCTATCTTTGTTCTATTTATTTCTGTAGCAACAGCCCAAATAAAGGTTGGGCAGTTTTAATGATTTAAAAGAAAGTGAAAGAGATACAAGCTCCAGCAGCTCTGTGACATTCTGGCACTACAAAAATACAACTAGCTGGGCTTACTGGGCTGGATGTACTGTATTTAGTCGTGATTTGTGCCTTCTGAATAATATAGTCTTTGGGTATACCTGTAAATTCAAGCATACAGATACTGCAACAGACCTATTTTAGGACATTCTCTGGCATATATTTTATATGTATTAACTAGTTTTCCCCCAAACAGGTACTTTTCAGGGACTACTTCCAGGAGAATGTTTTCATCAAGATACCTTGTTTGGGAGTCTAAGAATTTGGCCTCAGTACCCAGGAAATTTCCTGGCCACATTGAATTTACTGGTGTAGGCATAGCTATAAAATAACTATAGCTACAAACAGGTGTTTTCATCCAGTTCTAAGACTTTGCTAACAATATGAATCTGGATGAACTTTACTAAGTTAATTAGATCGCTTTACCAGAATCAAGTGGCTCTGATGATGTTTCACACTGAGCTGAATAAAGAATTATGTGAAAATGGTGCAGGTGCTAAAATGGATTAATTTAACTAGAACTGCACTAGTTACATGTGTCAAGAGGAATTATCAGTACAGGTATTGGATGGGATAACCAAGGTAGTGGGAGGCAAGTAGTACAAAGAAATCAGCAAGTTGCTAGCAGAATTTTCTAAAGGAACTGGAGAGGTCAAATAGTTGTGATAGTTATATAGTTATAGTTATGTTTAGCTCATTTTTATCAAAGGTGTTATAAATCATACCCAGATTCTTAAAATCTTTCCATCCTGGTGAGAAAATTTACAAGAAGCAATAAATATATTTAAGAAACAGTCAGGTTTATAACTTCTCATATAAAGTCAGTTCCCACAAATATATTTGGAAAATGAAGACAACTTTTAATGAAAAAGTTGCTTTAGCATGTCTTTTTTTAATAACTTGAATAAGTACAACAAAAACCCCACCCTCTGCTATGTTTAAAATACATTGTCAGTGTATGTATAAAAGCTCTAAGTTCTTTGCTCATATGTTTTCCAAGTGATTTCTGATAATGGGTGCTTACCACTTCTATTTTTCAGCCATTTGCTACACTACAAAATAGGACTACAGTAAATTTACCTTCAAAGGCTTTTGCTCTCTTCTGACATCTTGTATCTATGTATAACTGCTGTCTTATCTTGACAAAGAATGAAAGAGATTGAACAGATCTGTGTTTTCAGTCAGTGAGTTTGGGTTGAAGATACAGCATGAACTTGTGTTTCTTTATTAACCTTGAATACAAATTCAAACAATTGCTTATGATGGAATAACAGTCAATACAGTTCCTTCAAGTAGCACAAAGTAAGAGATCAGTATCTCACTCCAGAAATTCAAAAGGGAACAAAAATAGTCTAAGCTTGAACCGGAAAACAGCCACAGATCGGCTGCAGAATACACTGGTTATCCAAGCTCTGTAGCTAAACAGAAAGAGAGAAAAAAAAAAGAGGAGGATCCAGAAATGTGAAGGAATTTAGGCTTTCAATAAGCAGTCAAATTAAAAAGAGGGCAGGAGAAATCTTTTAAACAGCTCATCTGTAACATGGTATTCTTTTTAGAATTTTAAGTCTCTTTCCATAACAAACAATGCCTGCTATGTTAGGCAATAGTTATAGATTTCTTAAAAAGAAAAGGTAAAGTGCTTATTTGCAGAACAGCATCTCTGTTTTAATCCCTAAAGAAAGGAGAAAATACTTTATTTCATTGAGAAGTTGCCATGGCAACATAGATACCCATGAATACATGCTGAAATTTTTGCTTTTGCCTTACTTTTCCTTCAACATGCTGCTGTTACCATTTAGCTGAGTGAATTATCCATCCACATTTGTCTCATGTTTATCATCTAAGTGACACTTCTTACTCCTGCCTTGGATTTCACCAACAAGACTATCAGGAATCTTTAGTGTTTTAATTTGTTTGCTTGGCTTATGTTTTAGGGTAGGTGGGAAAAATCTTCTCATGCTTCCAGTTGCTTGTGATGATTCAAGCGTTGAATTAGGAATTAGGACTGCATGACACCTCCTAATGTTTTACCAGTTTATGCAATTCTGTGTTGACTTAATGGAAAGCTATATGGGAAATGGAGATCTTCCATGACATTTGAGAGTTTTTTTGTCTTGGTGCCCATTTCTATAATTATTCAAGATAATAGATGTGCTAAAAAAAACCTAACAAAAACTAAACAATAATAATTATGCCTCATTGAAATAGTAGTAGGTGAAATTCTGCTCTCCTCTACACCAGAACTAATCTGGAGAAATAACAGAAGCAGTCGAGTTACAAATGTATAAAAAGCCCTCTGCAAATGAAATCAGAATCTTTCTACTGGTAGTTACATTAGAGCCTGGGGATCCCCATAGTGTGCCAGAGAGATGATAAAGAAAATAAAGCAGGAGAATGGAAGCGCTAGTTTAGTTCTTGTGGCAAGCAGTCTATAGCTCCAACTTTATCCCCCAGTATTTTTCTTCTCTCCTAAAAGATGTGACTTGAGACAAGTAATTGCATAAGGTGGAGAGCTGTCTGCTCTCAGATGTGCTGGTGTAAGCCTGCAGCCAATTCTTTGATGCAGGCACCAAGAATTTCCCTTGGAATGTCATTCTGCATCACCCTGTAGAACCACTTACACAAATGCAAAGCTACTACAAAAGGCAAACAAGTTACACAAATAGAAAATGGATGTTGTGCTCCTGAACTAATAATGACAGTACTTTAGATCCACTACCTGAAGATACGACTTCATAAGAAATATGAAATTCAGCTACTCAGACACAGTCATTTAATTTTAAGTACAGTTTATCAGGGACCTGTATTGCTGGGTGAATAACCTGAAAGAATCATTTGAATTGCTATTTTATGTCCACCTTTAAAAACTGCAGGATATTTTAAAAAATACAAACACCAGAACCTAACAGTTCTTAATTCTTAAGTCAACCAAAATCTTACATCCATCGGCTTGTGGACACTCAAGTATCTCATGAACTCAGAGTCTTTATTTCTTATTGCAACTTAATAGGTTTTTTGTGCCAGCTACAGGCTGGTAAATTAAAAAGCAACAACCCAAATGGAGTAAATAGCTATAAAGGAAGACTTTGCCAACCATAGGATCATAGAGTCATAGAACAACAGCTTGGAAGGGACCTCAAGGATCATCTGGTCCAACCTTTGCCTGCAAAAGCACAGTCTAGCCAAGATAGCCCAGCACCCTGTCCAACTGAATCTCTAAGATTGGTCTGCCAACCATATGCTTACATGGATTATAAATTTGAAATATTTCCTGTTGCAAAGAGATAACTCTCCACATGCCACACCTCAGTACCACAGCCTGAGGCAACCAGGGTCTGTGCACAGCAGGAGCAGCTACTCAGATACCCTCAGCTTCTTTATGTCACTGTAATCTCAAAGTAATTCCCCTTCTTGCATGGTATCACGAGTGTGTTGCAGCACAGTTTGGCCTGTGAATGCTTGGCTGTTCTCTAATATATAGCCATGCTTGCTCAGGAGTCACGTAGTGTAAAACAGAAGCATCTTCAGAGGTGTATAAATTAATAGCTAAGGAATGTATAAATATTGGTTTGTTAATAAAAGCAGCTTACCATCTCTCTGTAGAGATGTGTCCTGGTGAACTGGCAGTAGATGTGGAGACAGCAACACCAGTGGTACAGCTGAATGACTGAAAACAGTACAACAAAACAGGAGACAGACAGAGAGCATGGAATCATGCTCTGCCAAACCAGAAAGTGTTACTGAATATTTCAGCATGATTTGACAGCAGATTTTTCTAGTCTACCCTAGCACCATTTTGAGGTGCTGAATAGGACACAAGTTACCCCCCAGTTCTGGGTTGCCTCTGAGCAAAGAGGTAAAACTCAGCCAGCTTTTACTGAAGGCTGAGAAAACACCTTGAAGGCCCTGGGTTTGTTTCAGTGCTGTCACTTCGTGTTTGTTTCATCTCCTTTTAGCTTGAGTTTCATAGGTTCTCCAATTAGTGCATATGCCATACGAGTCAGAAAGATAATTAACGACCTTACCCTTGCACAAAGATGTTTCTTAGAATTTCCCTGAACCATTGCTTTCCAAATTTTCTTCTTTTTATTCAGTTTTACCTTTCTGTTCCTGTTAATATTCAGGAGTATATGAAGAACCAGATATAAGTATACAGAGTGTCTTAATAAATTTTTGATCTGCTATAGATACAGCACCTTTTAAAGTTCTGCCTACAAAAGCAAGCTCCCAAAGGACAGTTTGCTCTGCTGCTGGTTATTTAGGGGTTTCCTTGCGTTTTTCCTGTTTGGTGAGTAAATGGCTTCTGGATGCCACTTAACTAGGATTAGATTATGCCAGACCCTAATGCAGCCAAAAGAGTAAAAATTAAACCTCTTTACAACTGCTAAATATTTCAAATCCAGAGTGAGGGCCACACTTTTCCAAGTGTTCAGGTATGTCACCTGTACTGTATGTCCCTGTGAGCTCAGCTCCAGTAAGTACAAAGAAACCACAAAGAATTTCTCACCAAAATCCCCAAAGCTTTGAATTTAAAAATAGCAGGCAAAGGACTGAACACTGCTGAAGGCTCCTGAAATGCAATTCACTTTATTTAGGCACAGAGGCTGCTCTGTCTTTTTGAAAGAAGAAAGGGTTTCCCATTCGGGAAAAGGTGCGAGACAGCAACAACGCTTCTGCACATTTACAGTCGGTTTTCGAAGAACCGATACAAAGAGCTGTGCTAAAGATCTCAACCGCAGTGCACGGAGGGATGTTTTTTGCTGGGTGCTACAAGACCCAGGAGCGGTGCTGCGTGTTCTGGACTGCCACCTACTGGCATTTGCTCTACTAACTACTTACATAAGCTTTTCCTCGGAGTATCTTCCCAACAATGTCCCTGGAGCTGATGGATTTACGCATGAAGGAGAGCAAGCACTCTGTGCAGTGTGGATAGGAAACCTTGTTCAGGGTGAACTGAGAAACTTGCTTAGGACTGTTCCGAAAGGGAACAGGAATTCATGTTTCTAGTAGAAAGTACTCCTGCTGAGTGGAATTAAGGCAACAATGTGACCTGTTTTGCATGTGCTTTATGCAGATTACATCCAGAAAGAACCATTTGACTGACCGATGTTCTGTTACCGCTTACACACCACATGACTGATAAACCCGCAAACTATAGTTTCAGCATAGACCCATAATTTATACTACCTAAGTTACACTTTTCTGGAAAAGTATCCTGGTTAATTTTACGGCCAGACATTAGCTTTTACCTCAGAAAAAAAATAGCAGAAAGTCAGAGACAAGTATTTTCATTCCTGTCCCTTATGTTGTCATTTCTTGACCATGAATTAGCTACCAAATACCTTATAGCATCTGGCTTCTATTTAGGGTGAATTTAGTTAGTCAGACAGCTAATGAGGGATATACTGGGAAGTAAATGGAAAAGAAAAAATAGCATTCTAACAATTTATAAGCCTCATAACATTAACAGTTGCATTAAATCCCATTGAAATTGATAAACAGAACAAAGGGGAGGTGTTCCTTTGCTTATGCATATTTGAACTCATGCTTGAAGATTCCCTGTTGGAATATCTGAAAAGCTGGTTTTGAAGGAAGCATCTGATTGCTCTTTAAGACACAATGGGAATACATTCCCAGGGCACTGGGGAGAAGGTAAAAAGATATGAGATGGAAAGACAGAAGATATGGACCTGAATAAAGTCCATAGAAAACAGAGTTAAACAGAAAATCTGAGCCAAACGCCAACTGCGAAATGGGCTGAGTTTTACCAGCAAAGACACACTTGCTTTCTTCACCAATGCACTTCTAGGGACATAAGACTGTGCATTTTTGTAAACAAAGTTACTGGAGCATCTCTTGAATCATTCCCCTATTTTCCTTCTAATAGGAATAAACTCTCAGTAACACAAAGCAATCATATAAACAGCACTGTAGTTATGCTTTGTTTGTAACGGGAGGTCTCTCTACTACCTCTCCCTCCTCAGTGGAGATTCTTAGAAAAGTCTTCTTAGAGGCACAGTCCTGACCTTAGTCCCTCTTAGATGCACAATCCTGACCCACTTGGTGAGCTTCTGGGGGAATCTGCACATGAAAATCTCTGCCGGACAATTACAACTCTCTGCTGGACAACTCCCTGCAGCCTCCAAGGGCACCTTAGTAGTTTTAACAGACTACCAGGGCAGATTTCAGCTAATAAAGCAGTCTCTAGAGATGCATTTCTATGATAAGCTTTCTTATGTCCTTAGAAAAAAAACAAACCCAAAATGATGAAAATGATTTATTCATGAGATTCATATTCATGGGAAATTTATCATTTAAGAACTCCAGATTAATAAGAAATCTAGGTTATATCACCAGCTCAAACAGACATTTTCTGACATGGTCAAATTACCTAGAAAAGGATTCATCTCATCTCCTTCCACTCATTCAAGTTAGGCAACAAAGCAACTTGCCTTTGGCTCTGTCTTTAGTCACTTCAGAGGCACATCCATACCTCCAGGGTGTGATTCATCCCATCCTCATGCAGAAACAGAGCATTAAGTGGAACACTCTTAATTTTGCTTCCCTTGCTAACTGCAGTCCAGAGACTGTTTCTGCATTGATTTTTTTATGCATTCTATTTCATTGACTTAGTCAAAGGAGAAAGTTAGGCACCCCTAGAGGTAAGTACCTCTCACCTACCTGACATCTGGCGTAGGAGGGCTAAATCACACTCAGGAGATGCCTCTCTGTCTCTCCTGACTGCGGAGGTCATCCTAAAGTGTTGCTTCAGTCTGGTAATTTCTGCTGGTGAAGTGAATCTCTACTCACTTCCTGCACTAAGAGAGGATCTCATGTTCTTGCATCTCATTCTAGCAGAGATGATTGCTTTCACTCACCTTCTCATTCATTGTTTCCATGAAACAGAAATACACCTCCAGGATGAATGAATTCTGGTGGTTTCGTTGTTGTGTGTTTTCTCCTCTATGATGTCTTACTCAGTAATGAACCTGTCCTTTCTCCACACAAAATTCTCATTAGCTATATTGATTACTTGATAATCACAGAGTCCTACATTTTGAAGGGATCTCTGGTGATTTGGAGTTTTATTTGTTTTGGTGAGTTTTCAGGAAAAAAAAAAGCAAAACCAAACCAATAGATAACAGTTTTGCTTCAGGGCCTCAGCCTCACCTGAAGGAGATACAAAACAACTTCTTGGAGTTTTGAGACACTGTTGTTCTGTTTCATTTTCATAGACCTATCAGCAATAGCACTATCCACGCCCACCAAACTCTCTAGTCTGATCTTCTGCTTGGGTCATTATATTTTCCTCCATCTTCCATACTGACTCCATGTCAGGCAAGTTGCTGAATATAAAGTAGAAATACAAGTTAATACTTGTACTAACTCCCTGTAGTTTTATTGTACCAGAATATGAAAAAAAATCCTCCCTCTCATTCTGATCACTTCTCTGGCCAAGAAAGGCGCACAGTGAGAGCTACTATAAAAGCTCATGATCATCAAAGACTCACATTCTTAGATAATAAATACATTATTGTGGCTTAAAAAGATATTGAGCAGCAACTTTATGACACTTACAGACTGTGTGGGTAGTTTTAACTCATGGCAAATGTAAAGGAACTTGACTCAGCCAAAGCTATCTGACTGTCATTTGAGGTTACATTGAACTTCATTTCTCTTCCAGGAGTCTCAAACTGGACTAGCAGCTGCTAAAGATCATATGACAAATAATGACTTGTTATGCAATGGTAACCCAGAACATTTATATAAATTATGATGGATTCTGACAGTGTTTAATATCTGTATCCAGATATTAAGGTCCTTTTCCAATACCCATCACTATGGTACCTCAGTTGGTGACACAAGTTAATCCTTACAACATTCCTCAGAAGTAGAGCAGCATCTTTTCCTATTTTGTACGTACAGCATCATCAAGACATAGTGAAACTAAGTGTCCATTTAGTCTGACAAAGCACAGATAATTTCAGAATAAGAGGGTTTTGGTTTTGGTTTTGGGGTGGGGTTTTTTTTCATATTCAAAGCCAGCAGTTCACCCTTTTACTGTGTGGGGAGCAAAAATCTATGACTCTGGCTTTTTTCAGGAGTCTGCTGAAGCCAAAATCCTCCATTTAGCAATCACAGCCGCAGATTTAACTACACTTGTGTCCTGCTTACCTGCTATTTGTAGGTAACACTGAATTTAGCCTCTGTGAGTTTTCAAGGGTATAAATGAGAATTGATGCCTTAGTCCACATGAGCAGTTTCAGATACAGACTAGTATATTCTTTTAAAATGTGCACTGTACTAGAGGAGTGTCTTCTTCGAAATAACCCAGCTTATATTAAAATCATACACAGAAAATTTAAAATTAATATATATTCTTTCTTGCAACAAACTCAATACATTGCATATTTTTTCACTCCTCAAAAAATATATTAACCTAAGTGCCTCTTCTGTTTGCTTTTATTGTTTACAATTGCAACTGTGCTAATAGAAAGTGTCTTATACAGGTAATTTGTACTCGGTCTGAAGAGTACAACAGCCGTGAGGCTTTATGCAATGCCACAAGTGAGGGGCCTATCCTGCGAAATCCTGGGAACAACGATAAATCAAGGACCCCAAGGCTCCCATCCTCAGCTGAAGTTGAATTCTGCTTATCACTGACTCAGTATGAATCTGGATCCATGGATAAAATGGCCAATTACAGTTTCCGAAACACTTTGGAAGGTAATGTGATTATTCTATTATACCATTTCCACTATAAATTGAGCCTCTCTGGGGTTAGAGTCTTTAAACTAGGCTGTTTGAGTTGGTTCCATGAAGCATCACTCAAAAAGAAATAAATAACAAGTTATGTTTTCTCCTGCAATAGCAACAGACAGAAAGAACCACGTTAAAGGCATTCAACAAGAAAACAGAAACTAACACATTAGGAAATATTGTCTCCTGATATTGTCTGTACCAGGCACAGCAAAGAAATGTAGAACTGCATAAAAGGAGACCATCTAATAATCTACGTACACATAACCATGTCCATGTGGGTTACAGGTTTGGCCTGGAACCCACTGTCTTCCAGAGGCCACCAAGCGTTAAAAAGGATGTTGCTAGTTGGCATGTTATGTCTACATCCTTCAACTGTGAACTCCACAGCAGACTTCTCTCCAAATTCTAAGGATTAAGCATTAAGTTATACCTCAAAAATGACTCTTGGTTTTATTTCCAGAAGAATTTAGTTATTTATCTTAATTATCTAACTATCCAACCTGGTTTGAATGTTCTTAATGTGCTAGTAAACAAGGGTCCTTAGCTAAAAAGAATTGTTATTCTTAATTATCTGTCTACCCAGCCTTTTTTGAATCTTGCCCAATTGCTACTGAATAAGAATAGTACATTATGTATATCAATTAATATTTCTACAGTATTATATATCAGCTGAATCAAATATTACCTACTTTTGATATCCCAGAGATTTTTGCTTGCAAGCAACTGTGCAAGGGCCAAAATAATGCACTATAGGAGCTCATGTGAGGATAAGAAATCAAAACTTTTAATATGTTCAGTATTACTCTTAAATGCAGTATGGAATGCTGTAAAGCTTTCTCAGG